ATATAATAAACACGCCAAACAATATGCCAAATTCTTGGGCTATGTAAAGGCTATAATTAAATATTAGAAATTAATTAATTTGACTAGAAGTAGGCAGTTATGCTGCCATCTTGTATTAAATTTAATGACCAATNATTTTTACACAAGAAAAAATTCATTTAATAAATATATTACTTTGTATTTCAGAAAATATACTTTACTATTTAGATTAAAACCGTTTGTATTATTTTGTGTTTGAGTAATTTTAATTATACATAAATATTTACTATATAATTAATCTCAATATGTAATCTGTTGGAACACTGTTATTTTCTAGGAATTATCACATCCACAGACTCCAAAAATACTAGCCAATCAACTTTATTTCACCTAGATGCATTTTGGAAATTAAAATATTTCCCTCCTCAGTGGGTTTTCTTTCATACAAGCTAAACAAGGTACAAACACTTTTTTTGATACTCTAGTAAATATACAATAACAACATTAAATTAACAATTTACAATAATACATTTATTAAAACTGTGTGATAATTCCTAGAAAATAACAGTGTTTAAACTGATTACATATTGAAATTTTTAAAAAATGGAATAGAGGCAGAAGAGATAAATCATATATAATTAATGTTCTTACTAGTGTTGCAACAAATAGTATATTCAGCCTCAAGCCGAATAGCCGAATATTCGGCTCGATTAACGCACGTACGAAAATTGCCGCGCAAACCGCATTATGGCAAGGACCCTGCTCTCTATTGGCCACTGCCACTATGCTTTGCCAATCGCATTAATTCTTGACAGTTATAGCAAACAGACATGAGCATCATGGCAGTACATATAGGTAATTTCATTGTTATCAAATGTGGATAACAATGAAATTACCTACACATGTAAATAATGGAAAAAGAATAGAGAAGGTCCCCAAAGTAAAAATGTGAAAATAAATATGAAATTGAGTAGATAACATAATCAAACAAGTTGAAGCAGCTTATTGGTGTGAAATTCGCAGCCATCAATGCCAAACAATTGTTGTCATAGACTTCAGAAAGCTAAATGCTTGTAATGAAAGTCACTTAGCATGCATGGGCGAAAGCCTGGGACCATTCGGGCTACCAAGCTGTCTCGAATCTATGAAATCATAACTGTGACATATACCGACGTCCTATCTCTTTTCTCCGTTATCACTAGGCTGAGTCACATAATTATAAAATGGAAAAACTATGACGTAAAAGTGACGAATCGAAAGTATCCTGAGCACATATTATGATGTATGCATAGGCATACGTGGACTAGAGAGATAGAGGAAAGAGAAAGGGAAGAACAAAGACGAGCGCTTAAGAAGAAGGATAGGCAGGGTCAGACCCTCAGATATGTGCGACGATTCTTGAACGAATGGGTGTGTACATGTGCTGATCTTTGTAATTATAAATTGTGAATACTTGTGACTAATATTATTATTGTTTTTATTTTGTGCATGTTATAAGTTATAAATGAATATAAACAAACAACACTAACCCTATAACATTAAATCTAAATACCAAAATGATTAATTTACTGTGTTTTTGTTATTTCTTACTCCTGTTTCTAGGTATTCGGCCGAATAGTGATTAAATATTCGATATTCGGCCGAATAGCGAAAAATAGACCGAATACCGAATAGTAACCGAATATTTGTTACATCACTAGTTCTTAATAGTTAACAAATTGTTTTTTGATTTTTTTCCCTTGTATTGTAATGACAACAAAAGTCCTCTACAGTATGTTAGCACTAAAAGTATTTGTTCTGCTAAACACATGTTAAAATTTTTCTTTGGAAAATATAAGTAATATTACAGTTTGCATGTAAAAATATTATAGATTACATTAACACATGTTTAGTCTGGAATCTAATTATATATATATTTATTTATTTATTTTTAAGCAAGTTTCTATAGCTAGACTTAAGAATATATGCAAAATAATAAATAATATTAGAATTAATATATATCTCTACTTTGGAAGAAAACCAGCAGCATAACTCAAAAAAAGTGCAATTTTTCAATTATGTCATAATCAAAATGAAAATATAGTAAATTTTTATGTGGAATAGTGTCACAAAAGTAACTTGCATATTCAGCCACTAGGGAGCAGTTATGAGAGAGATAAGTGATATTCAGTTAAACTTTGGTTAAATCTTTGCATGGGATTTTCTCAAAACTAGTCATTTTGAGTTGTGCCGGTTTTCTTCCAAAGTAGCAATATGGTATATTGTAAGTATTATTTCTTTATTCAATAAATAAGTTTATTAGTATTGACAGTAAGTAAATTATATAGTAATTAGATGAATAAGATAGTAATTAATATGATAATTATATTAATTCTCAAACTTAATTGTAATATTTTGTTTTTATTTATAATATCTTGAATATATTATAATAGCATTTAAATTTATAAAAACAGAAATGTGATAATGTATTACAAGATTTTTCCAATTGAACAGCTACAGCAACTTTTTTTTTAAACAAAAGAATAAATGTCAATACTTATATTTATTAATAATATTTGTTCCAAATATTTTTAAGTCATAGTATTTGTGCTATTTCAGCACTTTTCATTCATTAATAATCATCAGATAATGAATCTTTCTTCAGATTATAATTTTCATTTCCTTTAAATCAGCTTTAGTCATAATCAATTTAATAATTAAACTCTAATTATAATCATTACTTTGAACCATAAAAAAAAAGCACAAGGACAAATTTTACTTAATAATATGAATAAATAAAGTAATCTAATTGTAAATTTTCTATGAAATTTACAATAAAATATTTTATAAATGAAAAATTAAGGAAGGTATTGGGATATAAAACATTTGCAGCAAATAGTAATATCCAATATTTAGAGGAGTAAACTTTTCTAAACATTAGATATTACTAATTTACAGACAATATAATTCAAATAACTTTTATTAATGGTATAATATTTGAAATGGAAGCATAACTGCCTACCTCTAGTCAAATTAATTAATTTCTATTATTTAATTATAGCCTTTACATAATCCAAGAATTTGGCATATCGTTTGGAGTGTTTATCAAACATTATCTGTGATTTTTTTTTTTCTGCAAATCAAATTCTCATTCCAGGTTGGTTCATTCTGCACTACAAGAAAAGATGACAATGATTCACTCTCCTTAACAATGCAATTGTACAATTTTCTTTGAATAAACATTACACAAAAAATATTTGAGTATTTCTTTTGGCATGAAATGCATTATTATTTTACATTAATTTCTATGAGAAAAATTGTTTCGTTTAATGAGTGTTTCTGGAACAAATTATGCTCGGTAAGCAAGTTTCCACTGTATATTAAAAGACAAAATGTTTCATCACCATCAACCGAAACCTAAACAAACATTTTAGAAAAAGTGCTATAAATAGAGACTCAACTCTGCCTGGATGAAATATAACCAAATTAATCAAGACAGACAACAAGTACTGTATCCACACTTTTTGAAATATTATATTTCACTTGCTTTGATTTAAATTTTAATTAATTAATTAATTTTGATTTATTTTTAATTTTAATTAACTGGCTACCTAGTATTAATAAATATTATATTAAATTAAACATTAATATTATAATATATAATACATTAATAAATTTTTGTTATTTAATTTGAGTTAAGCACCTTTAGATATGAATTAATAGATGTCATTTATATAATGCAAATGCCAATTAATGCAGTTTTTATAAATTAATTTTATTTAAATTGTGATGCATATCAAAAACCAGTAGTAGTATCTTGCATGCATGCACATTGAAATCTAATTTGAATAACAATGCCATCAATGGTTAGTGTTGTAACATCTAATGATGCAAGGCAAATCTCAGCACCACTACTGAATCAGTAGTCCTGTCATTGATTGGTCAGGCTGTCAACTTTCTTTAACACAGAAAGTATAGGAAGTTGATCATCAATGGCCAGCTCTGCTGTATAGATTATTCAGAAACCAAGTTATCATACATAAACCAGAAAAAATATGGCATTCAAAGTTTTATTTGTAAACAGGTTTTTTGCATAAATTTTGCATAAACAAAATTTATATTTTACATATTTATCAGAATTTTATATGCAATTTTTTGGCAATGCTAAATAACTAAGTTTGACTATGATAGATAATTCTTTCCATCAACTATTATTTTTCAAAATTGCAATTAAAAACAATATATTTTTAATTGCAAATTGTATTTAAAATAAAATATATTATAAAAATTAGTTAATTCATATTTATGTTATGTATGAAAACCTACCTTAAGAAAATAGTTTACAAAAAATTTGTTCGTATCATTCATCAATGTTTGAGGTTACTAAGAAAATAAGACCTAACCAGAAAATAATCCCTAGTATGATTTTTCAGGGTGCTCGTAATATAGGCCCTACCCCTAAAATAAGCCACAGTTAAGATCGTCAGCCAGATGGTCGTATTTAATACATCCGTTTCAATTCACAACAGGCATATTGAATATAAAATAATGATATTAATATATAATTAAATATAAATAAATATTATTATTGACATTAATACTTAAAATAAATGATAATATAAATTATAATTAAGTATTTGTAAATACCCAAGCGAGTGCCTTTGGACAAGACATTCCCTGATAATAAGACCTAATGCATCTTTTGAAGCAAAAATTAATATAAGACTTGGTCTTATTTTTGGGAAAATACAGTATATATCTATGCAATTTATCTTAATCATCATAAAGAAAAACATTCATGAGATGCAATTTTGAATTACTAAATATATAACTAAAATTCATTTAAATTTTTAAAAATAACTTATGTACTGTAGTTCCAAAGTAGCTTTTATTGATAGAAATTTCTAAATTCTGGATGCTATATGAATCACTTACATAAATTACAAAAACTCATGAAATATAGAACAAATTTAGTGTGTCATGTATTTATTTTATAATTTTAAAACAAATAAATATATTAAAAAATAAATGGTGAAATTTACCTTGAGCCACTGCATGATTTCTTCCTTTATTTCCCAAAATTTGTCTATTCATATTGTAATCTTTGTTATTTTTCTAATTTCTACAATAATAAATAAGAGTTTTATGTCAGTTCATTCATTATATTAACAAAACTTGAATTAAAATAAAACTAATTAATAATTCATAGAGAATTATGAAAATTGTTTTTAGTAGTAACTTAATAAGAATTAAATTTTTAATGTTTAAATATTTAATTTTACTTTAAAGAAATTAACCTGAAATACTTAAGCTACTGATTTATTTTAAATTTTATTATCAAAAAATTGATCAGTAAAAGTTATTTCACACAGCTTTTATAATATAAAGATTATAGGCCATAAGTAATTTAATCAATAATTTTATTTTTAACACTTACATTAAAACTTTTAAATAAACAATTATTATTAATTATTCATAAATTATTTTTGTTTCTGATAAATCTATATAGAAAAATTTAGTTGTCTCAGTTGAATATTCATTCATTTATTTATTTATTTTTAAATAATTTTTAATAAAAATTTAAAATAACTGGCATATAATATAAATTTTTTAAAATGTTTATAAAGTAAAACAAAGAAAATAATTTTATATAAAGAATTTTTAAGTTGATTGTGTGGTTCATATTTCAAACATTCAAAAGAACATTTTTTATCAAAAATATTTGAACATTATCATTGTATGATTCAATCAATTTTTAAAATGCTATCAATATACAATAGCAAATAAAACAAAAATTTAAAAAGAAAAAAAAAACTAATGTTGAAAGTCACCTGCAAATCTGATAAAAAATTTACTGGAAAGAGAACAATGCAGATATTATTGAAAGATATCGACATACAATATAACTAATTATTTTGTAAGAATGAAGTAATGGATTTTCCCCCCTGCAGATTCAATTACAGAATGAATAAACATATATATATATAAACCAAACTTATTTGTTAATAAATGCATATTCTTATTATGTATAATTATTAAATATTCAAAAAACCTATAATTATTCTCAAATATTAAAAAAATTTGTTTTAATATTTTACAAACTGTTAAAATCTAAGTTACTAACAGAAATATTCCTATAATATTGCAAAAACAATTTCAAAATACACACAGCTACATACAGTAAAAGACTGAGAAGTACCCAAAGGGGCTAACTCAAAAGTTAAACACTTTAATAATTAATAAGTACCTTTTATTAACAGATGTGAGACGACTGTGGCAGACGGTTCGATAAACCATATTTGCCATCACAAATGTTTTTAAAAAACATTTTGAAGCTTTAACAGATAAATTTTAATTTTCTTTTTGTATAAAAGGTGGGACTAAAGCACCCGTAACTACCACTTTCTACATTTACCCGAAAGCTTCTTGGTAAAAGGTTCCATCAAGAAATTAATTTGTTTATTAGCGAGGTTACGACTGGAGTTTTCGTCTTTAAAACACAAGCGTGGAACATCGAGTGCCGCTATCTTGTAAGTGGCACTCGACGTTCCCACGCTCATGTTTTAGAAATGAAAACTTCGGCCGCAACCTCGCTATTTTCTTCAATTCTAATTATTAATATAGTTGTTTCTTCCACAATTAAAGTACTTTAATTGTGAAAGGAAAAAAAAACCTAAAACCTAATTATAATTTAAAATAAAGTATTTTATAAGAAATAAAGCAAAAATTTTAATTATTTATTATATTGAACATAATAAATCAATTAAATGATTTTACAAAGTATAAAGCAACAAATCACTCTTGTTTTTATTTTAGGTCACTTTAAATCTGATGAAAACAACACAAAGGGTCCATTTAAACAATACATAAAGCTTATTTCCATAGTCAAAATTAAAATATTTCTACATTTATTCATCAATTATTGAAAATTCCCTCTCCTATAGTAACTTCTGTCGCTTATACACAATGAAATAATTAATTTAATTATTTAAGGAATCTCAGTCCCATTACGTCATTGCAGAACCGAAATTACAAACACGAAAATACCGTCTATTTCGAGCCGTATTTAGTGCTTTATATATTAATTAATGCGTAATACATCGTTCGATATGTCTTAAGTTAAATAATTTACCTAATTTAATTCCAATAAAGGCAGAAATTGCAAATTCTTCGCTTTGTGCTTCATCTTGTAAAATATCCTCAAATAACTGCAGTGTTGCCAAATCGTTAAAAATATTCATTTTTTTATATCATTATTGTAATAAAGTAATCGTACTTTGTAAATAAATATTTTAAATTTTTTTAATGTTTTAATAAATATTAAAATATGAAAAATTAATTTCATAAATTTCATAAACTGTTAAAAAAAAAAAATACTTATTTATTTAAAATCCGATAGGTGGCCGGATGGCCGCGTGGTCAAGGTGGCAGCCTATATTACCGTTCGGTTAACATGGAACACCTAAATTTCAACACATTCGGAATAAGAGCAGGAAGCTTCTGAACATCTTTAAAATTTATTGAAACAAGAAATACAGCTGCCAGCCCAAGGACCTTTTGTGCATCGCCGACAGTACCACTCATGTATGTACTGTACTTCCCAGCATCTCAACCTTGACTAAAATCCAGATGACTAGAATCCATACATATGCATTACGTCAAACTCAGCTTTGGTCTCCCTATGACCGTTAACAATATCCTAACCCGCAGAGCGACCAACACCACGACCATAGCTTGCCATTACAGGAAGTATCTAATAAAACACTATATTACCTATCTCCAGAAGGCTTCGAGGGATAACTTTTCTCGGAAAATTATACACATCATTCAGAGTAATGAAGGTGCAACCCTTGTGAAGATTTCTATAGCCCATTACATCCGGAACTGGACACACACTCATAGTATCCCTACCGATAATCACACGATCCAAAACTCCATTC